TTCTTGCATGCTTAATCTTGCTAGGTTTTGATCACTGTACTGTTTGTTCTCTTTTGTATAACTCTGCATGTGAACTGGCCTTGTGGCCATTTGCTTGTGCTCGGAATGTGTGGTGACTTCGTGATCCACCCTGAGCTTGCTTTGCTTTTCTTGACTGGTCTTGTGACCACTTGTTCTCCCCCACTTTGCCTATGGGGGTGTGTCAAAACTATTATAGCACTTATGTTGTGTAGGCTATAGTGGGGTAGCCCATAAAGGGTACAACCCAATTAGGGTTAGTACTTGTATCCAACTTCTGTTCAACCCAATTATTTTCGTTCTATAGTTTGACAGTTTGATTATAGGGAGTTTCTTGATTTCTATCTTATGGAGTATAAAAACTCACTCGTCATTTAGAATTGTACCTTCTAAGGAATTGTGTACCCAGCCCCATATAATCGACGATTTCGCTCTCATTACTTGGGTGTTCTTGGCGTTCTTTGTTGCTATTGATTCGTCACTCAGAGACGTTGTCAGAATGTTATATTTGTCTAGCCTGCAGTGGGGTACTCAATAGTGAGTAAAGCCCAATTTAGGGTTTGCTATATGTACTCAACTGCTTGCTAGTGAAACATCCCTTTCTTGTTTCTAACTTTCAACTGCTGTTTCCAACAAGACGTATCCAGAAATAGCTCACAATAATATTTTCATCAAGTACTGAGTTCACGATGACGTTTTAAAGCGGACGGTTTTCCTACAGGCGTCAGCCATCGCAGTAGGGCGCGGCAAGCTGAGCGGCGGCTGGCGCTGCAGGCTTAGGACCGACCCCCCGTTTCTCCCCCCACCACTGTGCTATGTGCGGTAGGGCCGCGAATACGGCGCGACAGGGCCGCGGCTGGGGCACGACGAGAGGTGCGATAGGGCCACGACTGTCAGTAGATCGGCACTGTGGATTCCTGATTTATCCTAGGGGGGGTACAGACATGTTAGTCTAGGGGGGGGGGGGGGGGGGTTGTTGGGCGTACTGAACCGCATTTGGAACAAGCCCTTTTATCTCAGTGGTACAGTGGTTGTGATTCTGACATGGTATCAGAGCAAATGTCTCGAGTTCGAATTCCCATATGTGCACAAGCTGCCGAAGGCGCTGTAAGTGCCCTGGGCCTCCCAGTGTGTGGGGGGGTGTCAGTAGACCGGCACTGAGGATCCTCGATTGATCCTAGGGATTAACATGCATGTTAGCTTGGAGGGGGTTTGGGCGCACTGACCCGCATTTGGAACAAGCCTTTTTATCCCAGTGGTCTAGTGGTTGGGATTCTGACAGCGACGAAGATGGTATGCGATGGAGCGGGGCACGTACGACGAGCAGGGTATATGTGACGAGTAGACACCACGAGAGAATCAGGGCATGAATGTTTTACCTGCTCTGAAACCATATTAAGAAGGGAACTTAGGAGGAGCTAGGAGATGTGATAAGTTGAGCAAGTAGAAAGGGCTTTATTAGAAGGGGCATGATAAAGTTTTGCACACAAGAGGAAGGGAGATGGAAAGGTGCTTGAGGAATCAATTGGCTATACACTAGCATATGAATATATATAGATTTTTACCACCCGAGTTCCGTCGTAGAAACGTCTGAGCAAATTTCACGGTTTACTGCGTCCTTGTTGCTATTTAGGCTCAATTACCGTAAGAAGTTCCATAAATAGGTAGGTGAAACAGATAAATGTTCTGGAATGCTCGCCTACTAAGCTGAAGGTAGCCGTTGCTGGAAACTTGGGCGCACTCAAATTTGGTCAACAATAGATTTGGCGGGAACGACAAAATCGAGGCGATTCGAGTTTCCCCGAAGCCCATTGTTGTGCTGCACTTGACACATCTCTTCCCACCTCACCCCACTGCTCCCCAAGTCCTTCCTTCCCTCACTCACATCATTCCCTCGTAGTTGCTCAATGCTCATCCACGGTCTTCCTTCAATTGCTCCTCACATCGCTGCTCCCGTTGTTCCTCTCGCCTCTCTTCCATCCCTCCCAACATTCGCGCCCAAAACGTAGAACCTTCACTTGCTATCTCCCACCACCAATGAGTCCTTCCTTGACTGGCATAACGGACTAGTAGTCTTCGCCTTATCTAATATCTCTTCGCTCAGAGGTCGAATATTTTCGAACTCAATTCCATTAAAGCTGCGGTATACATTTGAAAGGAAGAGTTCAAAAACTTTTGAAATTTGAAAAGTTGCCCCAAACCTGTGAGGCTCACTCCCTAAACCCTGAACCCTGCTGACAAATGTATACTTCAGCTTTAATGTGCGTCCTAACCACCACGCTCGTCTAAGCTGCTGCCTTGGCCTCACGCTTTTCCAGCATAAAAAGAGCGTCACCATAACTTTTTACACGACGAAGCTTCCATCGCGCTTAGGTTCCTAGTATAATTCTTCCGAAATGTCGGCGCTGTTCCGAGAAGCTGACGAAGTCGACGAGTCCGTCGTCAAGACAGAATTGGATTTCAATTGGTAGGCCGGCATACATTTACAACGTATCAGGAACTTTTGTGGACGTGGCAGCACCTTCGCAATCTACCAGCAGGTCTACCTAGAAGGTCTAGTGTTTAGTATCAGAGATTCTGAGAGTCTGTCCCGTAGGTAGGGATCCGCCATTGCCCTTATACTGATGCTAATATAGTGTAGTACAATGGCGATCACCCCGATTCCCGCATCACCCGAACGCTTCGGCTGGTCGGGTCCGAAATCTTCATGCTCGTCTCCCACAGAAGCAGGTAGCCGGCCGCTCCCAGGAGGAAATCCGACTCCACCGTCTAAACTCATGGAACGGCACCCGTCGCCAATGCGCTTACCGTCTCCCAGACGGTTTCCGTCACCTAGACGGCAGCCGGCATCTCCGACACCGCCTGACAGGGGAGCAAACCGGTCGTTGAAGTTTCAGCCGGTGGTTACCACGACACTCATTAAGGAGAGTCCGGATAAGGAGCCGAGGGAAGGTTCGGGGAGGAACGCGGGAAAGGACATTCCAGGAAAAAGGGAAGGCCGCTTTACTAAAGCACCAACAGTAGCGCCCTATACAGCACCGGCTCCTGTGGCAGCTCCCGCTATAGTCATCCCTTCTCATACTGCGAAACCGTCCACTGGTATCCCGTCTCCTGCACTGAAACCGACTGCCGCTAGCGCATCTCTTGGACAGAAACCGTCTACTGGTATCCCGTCTCCTGCACTAAAACCGTCTGCTGCTATTGCGTCCCCTGCACTGAAACCGTCTGCTGCTATCGCGTCTCCTGCACTGAAACCGTCTACTTCTATCCCCTCTCCTGTCCTAAAGTCCACCACGGGGCCATCCTCCCCACCCAGTAGCTTCAAGTCCTTGGGTCCATCGGTGTCAAATTATACGGCGGAAACCTCAAATTCAGGAACCGATTCGGCCGGTCAAGCCATGCGAGCCGTGGCTGCTTCGTTTGTTCCGGCATTCAGCGCGAAGCTTGCAGACGGAGCGACCGCAACGGCGTCACGAGCAGCGAATAAGACGAATTCGACGCCCGTGTTCACTCCACCAGACAGGAAGCGGAGCTTCACACCCACGTTTTCGCGTCCGGAGCGGAAAGCAAGTCCCACACCCGGCGTGAGCGCTATTCCCGATCGGAATCGGAAGCAGAGCCCGGTGTCATCCGTGACGTCACGTCCTGTACCACCCGTGACGTCACGTTTTGATCGCAACGACCCTGCTTCTCTCGAGCTGCAGCGGGAGGAGAGGACGGAGCGGCCGAGGATGAGTTGGCAGGGCCGCGGTCAAGGCGTGAGAGTCGCGGCAGCTTCGGAGAAGAGCGCAGGAGCACGAGGCAGTGCTCGTGGGGCTAGCGGAGAGGGTGAGAATAACGGTGGTGGTAGTAACGGGAGCCGCGGAAGCGGTGATGGTAGCGGTGGTCGTGGGTTCAGGGGAGGTGGTGACAGCAGCGGTGGTGGTGGGATCAGCAAAGGCGGTGACAATAACGGTCTTAGTGGTGGGGTCACCAGAGGCGGTGACGACAGCGGTGGTAGTGGAGCCAGCGGAAGCCGTGAAAAGACGAGCGTGGTGGGAGTCGAGGTAAAGAAAGACAAGTTTAACACGTGCCCTGAAGAGACTGAGGGGGAAGGCACGGTGAAAGCGGTGAATGCTTTGAGTGGTGGAGATGGGCGGAAGGAGGAGGGGGCGAGGCAATGCGGGACAGCATCTGCGGAGGACGCAGGGAGCGAAACTGGTCAGCGAGGCATGCCTCTGAGAAGGGTTTCCTCAATGGGCACTGGCGGGTGGGTTGACAGGGTGACTGTAGCGAAGAGGCCTAACGAGAGGTCTGAAATTGGTGAGACAGGATTGCCAAGGACGACAGTGGGAAATGATGGAGTGGCAAGAGGGGCAGCAGCAGGAGAAGGACCTGCAGGGAAGTCAGCTGTTGCAGAGGGGCAGGGAGCATCAGTAACGGCCAGAGAGCTTGGGCCGATAGCCTCCACGGTCTTCGCACCCGCAGCACCAGCAGCACCACCAGCGGCATCAAGCCTAGTAGCATCAGCCGCAGCAGCGGCAGGAACCGCACCGCCACCATCAACAGCAGCAGCCGCCGCAGGAGGAGCAACAGCAGCTGCTGCAAGCCCAGCGTCAGCGATGGGGTTCAATGAGGCTGGCGCATTGCTTGCAGTCAGGCCAGTGGCGGTCGCTGCTGCTGCAGCAACAGCGAGAAGGGACGACGAAACAGCTGCTACGACCGTAGTGCTGACAGGGGAAGCGGCAAGGCTGGTGGCTGCAGCAGCTGCGATAATCGAAGCAGAAGCAGCGCCATCAGCAAAAGCCGCAGTGGTTCCCGCAGCAGACTCAACGGCAGCAGCAACAAGTGCAAGTGGAAGGGCAGCAGCAGAGCTGGAGGCAGAAAGAAGCGGAGAAGTAGCAGCAACAGCAGCAGTGGCAGCAGCAGCAGCAGGAGCAGCAGCAGCAGTGGGGTCGGCAGTGACTGTGGCAGTGAACGTGCGCCCCATGGTACCCCATGAAATGGCTGCTAGATGCGTGGAGTGCATCAAGGTCCCGCCAGGAGGCAAGCCAGAGGTGAGAGTCTACATTTCGCCTTGTCCTCCCACTTGTTCTCCCTGCTCTTACTCCCCCATTTGCCCCGCATGCATTCCCGCCCCCTCATGCCTTCCACCCCAATTCTTGTCTCCCGCCCACTCTCTTGCCTCCCGCCCCCTCTTGTCTCCCCAGCACCCCTTGCTTCCCCACTTCATAAGCCATCCCATCTCCTCTCCGCTTTTCACTCTCATGCTGCACATGCCGCCAGGCCAGGGTGCTATGGAGGGGCAATGTCATCGTCCCTCCTCATTCTTCCGCCCCTCTCTACCCCCTCTCGTCACTCTTCTCTCTACTCTTTTCCTGTCACTTTCCCCCCCCTCCTCCCCCGCTCATCCATCCTCTCCACCCTACTCTACCAATAATCTCTACTCCCTCTCCTCTCTTCTCCTCCGCTCTCCCCTCCTCCCCTTCCCCAGGTGCACGTGTCGCCAGACTGGGTGTTCACATACGACTATGTGTACGGAGGGATGGGTCCACCCATGCCTCAGTCCACTCCTCTTTCCTCTCCTTCCTCCCCCGTCTTCAATCCACAATCCTACTCTCTTCCCTCTCTTCCCCCACCAGGTACACGTGTCGCCAGACTGGGTGTTCACATACGACTATGTGTACGGAGGAACAGGAAAACAGGTGGTCACATTCTCCCCTTTCATCCCTCTACCCCCAATCTTCCCGCTCCAGGTGCACGTCTCACCAGACTGGGTGTTCACATACGACTATGTGTATGGAGGGACGGGCCCGCCCATGTCGCAGCTCTTTGCTGACTGCATCATGCCTCTCGTGCACGGGCTGTTTGACGGTTACAACGCCACGGTCTTTGCATACGGTCAGGTGAGGCAGCGTGATTGTTATGGTCTTCGCACGCGGGAAGGGGAGAGAGTGTAATTGATGGTTACAGCACTACAGGCAGACATCACAGACGGGCCCACCAATGTCGCAGCTCTTTGCTGACTGCATCATGCCCCTCGTGCACAGGCTCTTTGACGGCTACAATGCCACGGTCTTTGCATACAGGCACGTGAGAGAGCGTGATTACAAAGCTGCGGTTTTCGCATATGGGCAGGTGAGAGAGTATGTTTAATGGTTACAACGCTACGGCTACGGTTTTTGGCGGTTAAAGCACTCCCCCAAACCAATCTGCGTCAGCCAAAACACCACGGGCAGAGCACTGCACTTTCGATCATCGCTACTGCTGGTGCCGCTGCTACTGCTGATGGCACAATCACACCCCCCCCCCTTTTCCATGATGCCTGAGCACGCATGGCTTTCCAAGCATAACAGGACTCTCCCGTTTCCTATCTACCCCATCTCGCTATCCTCAACGTGCAGACGGGGTATGGCAAGACGTACACCATGGGCATGGCTCTTCACAGCACGGCTGCTCGAAGCACGAGGAACGCTTCGCAGTCAATGTCTTCTGCTGCACTCTCATTTCGTACCCTTCCCTCCCTTGTGGACGTGCAGACTGGTTCGGGCAAGACGTACACCATGGGCACGGCTCTTCAGAGCACGGCTACTGCTGCCGAGACAGACACCAATGTGGTCACCGACTGTCTGAACAGCAGCGAGAGTACCATTGGTAGCCCCAATAAAATCAATGGCAGCAGTAGTAGCCCCAGTAAAACTGTTGGTGGCAGTGGGGGCAGCAGCAGCAGCAGCAGCAACGAGAGGAGGGACGGGAGGAGCACCACAAGTGGCAGCACGGTGGGGGCTGTGAGTCCAGCGTCAGTGGAGAAGGAAGGGGGGGTGGCGAGGCGCGTGGTCAACTCGCTCTTCCAACGCGTGGAGGATCTCGCCCACTGCTCTCGCTTCCAGATTCGTGTCTCGCTCATAGAGGTGCGTGAGGAACGAACGATGCTTGGGTACAGTTTTTTCTGCCCTTGCTCTGCCCGAGCTCCCATCAACCATTCCAATTCACAAGGACGACATCCTGACCTCCTCGAGTTCCTCATCTTCTCATACGCGCACACGTCTCGTGGTATATTTGTTTCCCCTTCAGTTTCTCCGTTCACCAAGCAAGCACCCATCCAGACCCACAAGGACCACATCCTAACCTTTGTTGATTCTCTCGCCTTCTCACACTTGCAGAGCAGGCTCTTTTCTCTCACCAATCGGCCCTCTCCTCTCTTTCATTTCTCTCCGCCTTCTCACTTCGATTCCTTACTGCGCTGCTCCCTTCACCCACTCAGATCCACAAGGACGATATCCACGACCTTCTAGAGACTAGAGTCCCTTGTTTTCAGAGCTGTGTCGAGAATGCCTCTTTCTTCTCATGTAGCTTCATGCTCCCCCCTTCAATCCCCCCCGCGCTGCTCCCGTCACCCACTCAGATTCACAAGGACGATATACACGACCTTCTAGAGTTCCTCGCTGCTCCTTTCCCCACCTCCTCCCCCTCCTCCGCCTCCCCTGCCACCGTCGCTGCTCTAGCCGCTGCCGCTGCTGCGGCCCGAGCCTCCCCTTCAGGCCCGGCGCCCTTAGGCCTGGCGCCGCCGCCCCGGCAGACCGTGGCGATCCGGGAGTTGCCGGGAGGGGTGTCTCTCACAGGGGTTACAGAGCAGGTGGTTACCACACGGGACGAGGCTATAGCATGCTTGGAACACGGGCTGTTGTTTGGGTGTGTGGAGGGTGATGGGGACTGGTCTGAGCAGATGGTATGGTCGTGGTTACTCCCTTCCTCTTATTCTGCTGGTCTCTCCTTCCGCTACCATGCTCCTCCTTTCCCCAATTGTGCCCACGTCACTTTCACTTCTTACTAATTAGCCTAACTCCTCCCGCTTTCCCTGCCCTGCTTCCTTCAGTAACCACCCTTCTCACCCTTGCTGTACTTAACCCACATACCTGCCACCAGTCGTTCCCATGGCATCTTTCACAATATTCGTGGACCAGTTCAGACTAACCGCATTTCCTACTGATCCTACATCTCTCCCTCCCCGTCTCCCTCCATTCTCCATCTCTTCTTTTCGTCTCTCCCTTTTTTTAACCCACGCACCTTGTTCCCACCAGTCGTTCCCAAGCCATCTTCACGATATTCGTGGACCTTACCTTCTTGTCGCCCACCCTTCCCTCACTATACTCGTCCCTGCTCCCCCTCCCTGTCTTTTCGTGCTCACTCACCTTTCTTGCTACCAATCGGTCCCATGCCATCTTCACAATATTCATGGACCAGTTCAGGCAAAGGGCAATCCCACTGGACCCACATCTTTCCCTCACTACCTCCCGTCCTTCTCTCTCCCTTTCTGAACTCCCTTCCCCGTTTTCTTCCCACCAGTCGTTCCCACGCCATCTTCACAATATTCGTGGATCAGTTCCGGCGAAGGGCAGTTCCGCTAGACCCCGCCTCTCGCCTTTCCACCAGCATGACAACCGCCACTGGCACTTACCTAAGCAGCAGTACCAGTGGGAGTTCCACAGCAGCGGAAGAGCTTTGCTTGAAAGCGGAGACGGCACGGGGAAAGCTGATGGGATGGCACTGTTTGGGCAGGACGAAAATGTTTTGTTTGGGGTTGGGCGGATGGACGAGGAGCATCTGTGTGCGAAGATGCATCTGGTGGACCTGGCGGGCAGCGAACGAATTAAACGCACCAAGGCAGAGGGCGCTCGGCTGAAGGAAGGTGGGTCGCAACACAGCAGAGTAGGTATTGCTGTGTGGGGAGACGGTGGGTCTTCCCATATAACCTCTGGGGTGCATGGTCCAAACCTCGAGCATTGAGGTGAGTTTTGAGGTGCCTCAAAACTCACCTCAATGACCTCTGGGATGCACGGTCCAACCGCCCTATTGCGCAGTCCAGACGCAAACGCCTGATTGCACGGTGAGACGATGGTAAGGCAAGACGATGCATCTGGTGGACCTGGCAGGCAGCGAACGAATCGAAAGTGGCAATTGAGTCAACTTACTCACTACTACTCTTCTTCCACCTCCCCCTACCTCTGCGGGCATTCACATCAACAGGGGTCTCCTGGCCCTGGGGAATGTGATCAGTGCGCTCAGCAGCGGTGGCTTTTGAATACAACCATTAACTACCACTCTTCTTCCCGCCTCCACCCTCCCCTCCCTCCTGCACCCTCTCTCTCCAGGCATCCACATCAACAGGGGTCTCCTGGCCCTGGGGAATGTGATCAGTGCACTCAGCAGCGATGAGAAGAGGAGGAAGGATGCAGCAGGAGGGGCAGGAGGAGGGGGAGGAGGGGCAGGGTTTGCTGCGGCGTTGATTCCTGTGCATGTGCCGTATCGAGACAGCAAACTGACTCGGCTGCTGCAGGTGTGTGGGTGTGTGTGTGTGTGTGTGTGTGTGTGTGTGTGTGTGTGTGTGGCTGATGCTGGGTGGAGCTTGTTGATCACATGCATCGCTTCAGCGGGGTTCACGGCGGCATTGATTCCTGTGCACGTGCCGTTTTGGGACAGCAAGCTGACGCGGCTGTTGCAGGTGCGTCTGTGCGTGTGCGTGTGTGGGTGATGGTGCATGTAATTTGCATATCACAAGCATCTCTTCAGCGGGGTTTGCAGCAGCGCTGATCCCCATGCACGTGCGTGCCGTATTGGGACAGCAAGCTGACGCGGCTGTTGCAGGTGTGGGGAGTGCAAGACGTCTCTACTTGAGCTTGCTTGCTTTAATACCAATCGCTTCATTGCTTCCTGCACACAGACAGATCTCATCATCACGCTTCCATTTGTCCAGTGAATGTGAATCATCTGGTCAGCGAAATAAGGCCCAGTCAACCTCAGTCCCATCCTCATCCTCATCCCATCCCAGCTGGTTTTTGAGAATTCTCAAAAACCAGTTCGTCCAGTGAATTATCTGGTCAGCGAAATAAGATCCAGTCAACCTCAGACCCATCCCCATCCTCATCCTCATCCCATCCTCTTGTGCCCGTGGCTGCCCCATTATCCTCATTATTGTCTGATGCAGGATTCTCTTGGAGGGAATAGCCGCACTGTCATGATAGGTGAGCGCCCATAGGCTGAATCACGTCGCTGTGCCAAAGGCTTCTTATTTTCCTAAACCCTAATAAGAGTCTACTGGTTTGAATTCACCCTCAACAGTTTCACTCCCCCCTAGGCGCTCTCCCATGCCACGGAGAGCTCAAAGCTCGAATTCGAACCCCCTCCCCTGGACCCAATCCCCCTTCCCCTCCCCGTATTGTCCCTGCACTTCCATCTTGTCTTTCCCTTGTTTGAAGCTCTTGTGTTTCCGTTTTTTCCCTCTACGCGCATCCTTCCTCTTCTTGTTCCTGTGTGAGTCCCAGTGGCACTAATTCAGAGGAGAGTCTCAGCACCATTTCACTATGTCAACTCGCCTCCTTCTCATAGCGCCTGTGGAGTGTCCTTTCCCGTTTCCACAGCCTGTGTGAGCCCCACGGACTCGAACGTAGAGGAGTCTCTCAACACCCTTCGCTACGCCAATCGCGCGCGCAACATCTGCAACCGACCGACGGTGAACCGGCTGGGAACGGTGGATGCAGAGGAGGTGCGGCGGCTGAGGCAGCACGTGTCTCTCCTGCAGGCAGAACTAGCTAGGGTGCCGCCCCCTCTGCCCATCACAGCAGAAGAGCTGCAGGTGGGTGTCTCGAGTTGAATAAGAAGGGTCTCTTTTCCAGTCGGAGCTGGCTAGGGTGCTGCCCTCCCCGTTTGCCATCACAGCGGAGGAACTTCAGGTGGGCCCTTGGTCGGCTCAAAAGGCAAGGGAAAAAAAAACAGGTGGGTGCTTCTGAAAAGGTAGCGGGGGTGCCCGCCTCAGCTGCCCATCCTCTCCATCACCGCAGAAAAGAGCTGCAGGTGCGAGTGCCAGGATGCTAGTGGGAGAGAATTTTAAAGGACAGAAATATGATGCGAGTGCCAGGATGGTAGTGGGAGAGAAATTTAAAACTGCACTAGCTAGTGGGACAGACAGAAATATGCACATGATTCTCTCCCCTCGCTTGGCAGATGTTCCATCTGTCTGGAGTGGCCTTTCTCTATTCCACCTCTTGCTAGGAGATGGTCTGCGTGTGACTGCACCTCACCCCCCCTTCTGCTCTCCCTCTTAGGGTCTTCAGTGTTCAAGGTGCCCGAACAGTTGATTGATTATCGCATCCCCTGGTTTTGCTCGTTTCCTCCATTTCCCCTCTTTTCCCTCATACCCTCATCCTACTCTTTTCCCTGTTCACTGCTCCCATGCACTGGAACAGAATCTAGCATCTCTAGAGGAGGCCAACTCCCAATTAAAGGATTGTTGAGTCGACTCAAAAACATTTTCCCTCTTCTCTCGTTTCCCTCGTCGTCCTCTGTTTTATCTTCACTGCTCCCAGGCCCTGGAACAAAATCTGGTATCTCTCGAGGAGGCCAACACGCAGTTAAAGGCGTCACTAGAAAGCACCCAGTCAGACCTGCAGTCAACCCAGCAGACTCTAGAAGCAACAAGGCTATCCTTGGAATCCGAGAGGCAACGGGCGGATGAAAGCGAGGCAGCGTGCGCTGCTCTGCGTGCTGACTGTGCAGCGCTGCGTGCTGACCTGGACAGCGCCACGTCGGAGATCGCGCGGCTGAGCGCTGAGCTGGCGGCGGCAAAGGAGGAGTCAGCAAAATCAAAGGAGCAGGTGGATGCTCTGAGAAAGTCCCATGAGAAAACCGGCCGTGGGCATGGCGCTGCTGCTGGTGCTGCTGCTGGTGCTGGTAGCTTTGGCAGCAGTGGTGTTAGAAGGCAGTCGGGCGGAGGTGGGGGAACAGCAGCCTTTGGAGCGGCACGAATGGATGAGATCAAGCGAGTTAAGAGAGAGGCAGATAGGGCCGTGGCTGAGGCAACCAAGAGGGCAGAGAGGGAGAGTAAAAAGGCGGAGGAGGCTATTGCGCGAGCTAGGAAGGCTTTGGAGAGAGCAGTAGAGGCAGAGAAGCGGGCACCTGAGGCAGAGAGACGGGCAGCAGAAGCAGAGAGGAGAGTAGCGGAAGCTGAGAAGAAAGCAGCGGGGGCAGAGAGACGGGCAGCAGAGGCGGAGGAGAAAAGGGAGAGAGAGATGCGACGGGCAGATGGTAGTGTTGAGCGCTTGGGTTTGGCAGAGGTTCGGGCTGCCGAGGCTGAGGCAGAGGTTCGGGCACTTCGTTCAGAGCTGGCATCAGCGGCTGCCGAAGCAATGGCGGCTGCTGTGGCACGGCAAGCCTCGGAGCAGGAGCAGGTGAGGGTGGTTCGGACGCAGCTTGCCGAGGCTGAGCAGGAGGCTCGGATGACTTTAGCTGAGATGGAAAAGAGGTTCGGGATGGAGCGGGCAGAGTATGAGAGGCAGTTTGAAGCTGAAAGGCAGCATTGGGAGAAGGAGAAGAGCTCGTGGGAGGAGGAAGGGAGGGCGAAGGATAGACGGGTGGCGCATGAACGTTATAGCTGGAATCATGAGTTGACAGCGGAAGTGGAAAAACGGGAGAGGAACTGGGCAGGGGAACGGGAGATGTGGGAGAGGAGTCTTAGAGAGGAAGGGGAGGTTTGGGAAGGGAGGCTGAAAGAGGTACGGGACGCATGGGAAGCAAAACTGAAAGAGGAAGCGGAGGCTTGGGAGAAAAAGCTTGCAGCAGCTGAAGAGAAAGCAGAGAAAGCAGCAGGGGTTGCGGAGAGAATCAGGGCGGAAGTTGAAAGGGCGGAGGAGCAGGCAGTGGCAGGCATGCTGCAGGAAAAGAGGCTTGCAGAAGAGAGAGCTTTTGCTGCTGAACGGGCTTTGGCAGGGGAGAAAGCGATGCTGGAAAGGAGAATGGCGGATCTGAGGGCTGAGGTGAGGAAGGCTGCAAAGGAGGAAGAGGCGGAGTGGCTGGGGTTGGTGACTTTTGAAGCTGAGAGGTTGAGTGAGGAGTGTAATGTGTTGAAGGGCGAGTGTGGGGAGTTGAGAAGGGAGTGTGAGGGGTTGAGGAAGAGGGAGAGGGAGGAGAGGGAGAGGAGGGAGAGGGAGGAGGCGAGGGCTGTGAGGGCCGAGGCTGCTGCTGCCGAAGCTGAGGCTCGGGTGGCTCGGGAGGTGAAGTGCGTCCAAGAGCAGGCTCGGGAAGAGGCTCGGAAAGAGGCAGAGAAAATGGAGAGCGAGTTAGCGGAGGTTTGGGCGCAAGCCGAGGTGGAAGCAAAGAAGGCAGAAGATGCAAATGAGAGGGTGAAAGAAGCAGAGGAGCAAGTGATTATATTGAAGGTTAAGATTGAAGGGTTGAGGGAAGAGTTGAATGAGCTTGAAGCTGTTCTGGAGGTGGAGGAGCGGAAGGCGGAGGAAGCAGAAAAGCTGCTGGTTCGGGCACGTGCCAAGCTTGCCGAAGCTGAGGCTCGGTCCGAAGCTGCAGAAGGGCGAGTGGAGGAGCTAGAAGGGGAGGTGGAGACAGCGAGAGAGGCAGAAGAGGTGGTTCGGATGGAGTGTGAAGTGACGAGGGAGTGTGTGCGGGCGGCAGGGGAGAGAGTGAAGGAGTTGACAGAGAGAGTGCGGAGGAGTGAGAGGGCTGCGGAGGAAGCAGAGGAGAGGGCGAGAGGAGCGAAGGACGAGCAGCAGAAGGCGGAGGGGAGAGCGAGTGAGGCGTTGGCTGCAGTGGAAGGGGCAGAAGAGAGAGCGAGAGTTGCTGTGCGGGGGAGGGAGGAGGCGGAGAAGGGAGCAGAGGAGGCGAGGGGGAGGGCTGTAGAGGCTGAGAGGAAGGCTGCTGCTGCTGGGGCTGCGCTGGTAGAAGCAGAGGAACGGGCGAGGGATATGGGAAGGAGTGAGGAGGAGAGGGAAGAGGAGGGGGGGGAGGCGGAGGTGGGGGAAAAGCGGGAGGAGGAAGAGACGAAGAATGGAGAGAGGAGAGTGGGAGAGGCGAAGGGAATGAGGGGATCACCAGGGATAAGGGATGTGGAGGAGGTAGTGGTGGCTTTGGTGTGTGAGATGCTGGATGATGCGATGTTGAGGGTGGATCAAACACAGGAGACAGCTCTTGAGGTGTCTCAAGGGTCAATGGTGACGGAGAACCGATCACAGCAGAAGGAGCAGCAGTTTGGAGGAGACAGGCAGCAAGCGGAGGAATGTTTGGTGTCGGGTGAACTGGCGGGTGAGCTTCAGGGTGAAGCGCAGGAGGAACTGCAGAATGAGCTTCAGAACGAACCGCAGATTGAGCCGTGGAGTGAACTTCTGAATGAAACGCAAGATGAATTGCCGCAGATCGAACTTTGGAATGGAGGGCCAGCAGGGAGCGAGTGGCTGAGGAGGAGGCAGGAGGAGGTAGAGGCGATGGTGGTGGGCCTAGTGGGACAGGTTCTAGATAGCAGCATGATGATTCTGCAGGCTCAGGAGCAGGCTCGGGAGCAGGCTCAGGAACAAGCCCGGGAACAGGTCTGGGAACAGGTTTGGGAGAAGGCTTGGAAGCAGGCTCGGTATCAGTTGCAGCTGCAGCTTTTCCAGGCAGAGGAGAAGGCAACCGAGGCAACGGAGCAGGTTCGGGGACTGGAGCAGCAGCTGATCAAGGCAGAGGAGCAGGTTCGGCAGACTGAGAAGGAGATTGTGGTGCTCAAGGCTGAGCTGGCAAGTAAGGTGGCTGAGCTGGATGCTAAGGTTGCTGAGCTGGCAAGGGCTGTGGAGGAGAAGGAGAGAGGGAGAGGTGAAGTGGAGGCAATGAGAATCGGACTAGAGGACTTGCGGGGGAGGCTACGAGTGAGGGAGGAGGAGAAGGGGCATGCGGAGGAGCATTTAGAATGGCTTATGAAGGAGCTGGCAGAAGAGATGGCGGAGAGGGACGGGGAGAGAAGGGTAGTGAATGCAATAAGAGAGGAGGTTAGGAGATTGCGAGGGAAGATGCGGGAAGGTGAAGAGGTGAGGAGGCAGGCGGAGGGGCGTGTGGAGAGGCTTATGGGAGAATTGGCTGATGCGGTGGAGGCGAAGGAGAGGGGGAGAGGGGAGGTGAATGCGGTAAGGGAGGAGGTCAAGGGGTTGAGAGGGATGTTGAGGGATGGCGAGGAGGAGAGGAGGCAATTGGAGGAGCATGTGGAATGGTTGATGAAAGAGTTGGCTGAGGTGGTGGTTGAAAAGGAAAGGGCTGAGAGGGAGAGTCGAGAAGAGGAGGTGGAATGGGGTGAAAAGGAGGAAAAGAAATCAGAGGCAGAGACAGAGATAACAGAGGCACACACTGGGTCAGGGGAAGAGGATGGGATCTCAGCACAATCAGAAGTGGAAAGAGAAGAAGACCGCATAGCAGAAGCAGAAAACGGGGGAGAGGCAGGCCCAGAAACAGGAGCAGGGGCAGGAGAAGGGATAGGTGAAGAAGCAGCATTGGAGGCGTGTGTAAAGTGGTGTGTGGAAGTGGGTGAGGAGGCATGTGAGGAGGGGGGTGAGGAGGCGGGTGAGGAGGTGCGTGAGGAGGCATGTGAGAAGCTGATCTCTACCTTGCAATCTCAAGGCGCCGTTGCAACTCCTATCAAGAACCAAGGAGCAGAATCTCCTTTCGTCACTCCTACCGCCTCCCCCACTGCCTCTCCCTCTCCCTCTCACTCCACTCGCCCTCTCTCTCTGCACCTGACCATTTCGCCTGCTTGCCCTGCAATAAAAGCTGGTGATGCCATTCCCGCCTGCCCCCTGCCTGAAACAGCCAGTGGCGATGATAGCACCGCTTCTGCTTTCCCCCTGCCTGCAACGATGTGCATGGACCAGCCATGGAATCCGTTCCTCACTGCCCCACCTGACGCCCCAAGTGACGCCTCAGCTGATGCCCCACTTGCTGCTGCTGTTGACGTAGTTACAGCAGCTCCAGCAAGCCTGGGGTTCTCTCGCTTTAATCCATTCCTGCATGGTTTTGAGGAACCCTTACAGGAACACAGTGACAGTACTGAAAGTTCCCTACTGAATCACACCGCCATTCAGACAGAGGAGATGACTTTTGAGTCGGCTGAAAAGCCATTCCCGATCAGCTTTGAAGAGCCTTTGCTGGAACTGAAGGGCACCACAGCGGAGCCCTTTGAGGACGCCTTACAGGGAAGTGAGACCAGTACAGAGATGCCCGAGCAGTCCCTGACTGCTGAGCGTGGCAGCAGCTGCATTCCTCGTTCCAACAGCAACCCGTTCCTGTGCTCTTGGGCGGGTCTTGAGAGGGAGGAGGGGGAGACCTGTGGAGAGGAGGGGATTAGTGTGGAGGCGGAGGGAGGAAGTGGCGAAAGGGGGTGCACTCTTAGCAGCAGTAATTACGTTGTCACCACTGTTGGGAGCAAGGCTAGTAGCTCAACTGCAGGAGCGGCTGTGAGCACTGTTACGAGCACCACTGCTGGCACCACCACTGGTAACACCACAACTCCTAGCACCACAGCTCCTGACTCCACAACTGCTTGCAGCAAGACTGCAGGCTTCATGCGTCTACCAAGCTCCCCACGCCTCTCCTCCTCTCGGGCCCCTCCTGCCCTCGCTGCTCGCTCCATTCTCTCCCACACCAAGCCCCTCCCTCTCTCACACTCGCCTGCTGCTGCTGACCCTCTGATTGCGGCAGCTGTGGCAGCCGCTGCTGCTTCTGCTGTCGTTGTTGGTGCCGGTGCCGCTCGTGCTGCTACTGCTGCTGCTGCTGCTGCTGAATTCGATGGGATCGGAGAGATGGCGGCGGCAGCAGTGCAGAGAGGAGCACAGACAGCAGCACCATCAGCACAGGCAGTAGTAGCACAGGCAGTAGTAGCACAGGCAGCAGCAGGGGGGTCAGCAGAGGCAGCAGAGGTGGTGCTTCCATCTTCGATGGTGTCAGCTGCTAAGATTGCTGGCCTTGGGGGTGCGTTTGTATCAGCAGGAGGAATGGGAGCCGTGGGAGGAATGGGTGGAGTAGGCACGAAGGGTAACACGGGAATTTCCCTTGGGGCTTGCTCTGTTTTAAGTGCTGGTATCGGCGTGAACACCAATCAGCAATCACGGGGCCACATGGGAATGGGAAATAAGAGAGGTGCTTATGTAAGTGGGGAGATAGAGGAGGTGGTGGAGCTGGTAGAGGAAGAGGAGGGAGAGGAGGGGGCAGTGGAGGATGAGGAAGAGGAGGAGGTAGAGGAGGAGAGCGGGGAGGAGAGAGAGGAGGAGGAGGAAAGCGAGGTAGGGGAGGAGAGCGATGAGGAGAGAGAGGATGAGGAGGAAGAGGAGGAGGGACAGGAGGAAGAAGGGGAGGGAGATAAGGAGGAAGAGGAGGAGGGAGAGGAGGAAGAGAGTGAACCAAGGGGTGAGGCCACAGAATGGGGAACTAACTTAGAGGGGGGAAGCACCAAGAGCATCTTAGGGACCAGCGTTGGTGATAGTTACGACATGTACACCAGCGGTACCAGCAACAGCGGCGGCAGTGGCGGCGGCAGCAGCAACCACAAGAAGAACAACAGTGACAGCAGCAACGGCAGCCGAGGGAGGATGGCCCCTGGAGCAGTGGCGTCTGCAGCAGCAATGCTGACCCGCCTGAGAGGGTCCGTGAAGATGGGGCAGAGCTTCAGACGCCGCCATTTCTTGCCATCCAAACCCAAAGCAGATGCAGGGGGAGAAGCAGCTGCTGGGGAAGGTGAAGGGTGGGCAGCAGAATGGGGAGAAAGAGGAGGAGGAGGAGGAGGAGGAGGAGGAGGAGGAGGAGGAGGAGGAGGAGGAGGAGGAGGAGGAGGAGGAGGAGGAGGAGGAGGAGGAGGAGGAGGAGGAGGAGGAGCGGGCGTGGTAGGTGGAAGCAGCAGTGAGGAGGGCAGTGGTGGAAAGGGAGCAGGTGCTGAGACAGGAAACCAGAGGACAGCTCATTTAGACGGCAAAGGTGTTGCTGGTGTGAATGCATGGGGGCAAGGCAGCAGCGAGGAGGAGAGAAGAAGCAGCTATGCGATGTCTGGAACTAGCATGGGTACAAACGGTCACACAATGTTTGAGCCTTTTAGCGACCTGCATGTACCACCAGACTTTCCAGACCACCTGGATCTCAACACAGGGGCGGAGGATGCTTGCACTGAAGACTCCCACAGCAGGCGCCGCAGCATTGTCAGCAGCATTCTCATGCGGAAGAGTGGTGGTGGTGGTGGTGGTGGTGGGGGAGGGCATGGCACGCACCACGACTTTCGGAAGAGCGGGGAGCTGTACAGTGCACAGTATGTTATAAGCAGTTTTAGTGGAGGGAAGAGTGGAGATCTGTACCAGAGAAGCAGCAGCCACAGCAGCCACAGTAGTCACAGCGGCCAGGGTAGCAGCAGCAACGGTGGGGCTGGTGGTACAGAAAAGAAGGGTACTTCCTCACCTTTTATGGGAGGCCACTTGGTTCGCAGCAACAGCTTTGGAAGCTTTCCCTTAGGTGGTGGGAGCAGTGGCAGCAAGAATGGTAACGGCACGAGCAGCAAGGGTAATGCCACAGAGGATAGTGAGATGGGGAGTGTGAGTAACAGTGGAGCCAAGAAGACCCTTGGATCTCCCTTTTTAGGAGCGTCTCTCAGTTTCAAGATGGGCAGCACCCAAAAGAGCAGCAGCAGCAGTGGCAGCAGCAGCAGCAATGGTGGCAGGGGCAGCGGCAGTAGAGGGTTGGGATCGCCTAGAATTTGGAGCTCTCCTGTGCTAGGACCTCGAAGGCACGATGCCAGGGGTGCCTCTGGAGGCACGGAGTCAGCAGCCATGGCTGGTCTGGAGGAGTTTAGTGCGTGGATTGACACGAGGAATGACGCTGAAGACGGTGCATGTGAGTTAGGAGAAGCAGGACGAGAAGGGAGAAAGAAGGGCTTCAGCCTGAAGAGTGTTCTTTCGTCGAAGACGTCCATGAATTACACGAGCTGACATGAACGTTACTCTTTTGGATCATACCACTTGGCATTACGATTTACTCCTAGTAACGGTGGATTGGCTTAATTCAGGGTTGGAATGGCCTAATAGAGTGTATGTAGCAACCGCATATAGAGTAGCATATACGGAATGAGGCTTATAGGAATCAGTGACTTTTAACTCTCATAGTGACTAGTTTTAACAGCATATAAACAGTTTGTAATTGCCTAAATTACGTTAATTTATCATAGGGTATGTTTGCATAGCTTTGGAGTACCGGAATAAAAAATCGCCGTAAATGAAAGTGAATATGCTGGTAGTCGTAGCAGTGCCCATTGACTCGCACTAAGGTACATTAAAGAATGGATTTAATATATATGTGTTTACTACATCTCAACTCAAACCATTTCCAGGTTCAGAAGGATCTTAGGACACTTCTCCAGAAGCGGGGTTGTGCCTTTTTCGATCTACAGCGGCATCAGGCAGTGGGTACAGTTCGGAATGGCAGCAATGCTTGCATCCATCAAAGGAGTGAATTCGCGATTTAGGGCTAGTAAACGGTTGCCACCTGTTAGTTCTCAACAGAAGCAAAGCTCTAGAAGCAGCGACTTCACATGGCACCACTTCGTGCCACGTGCTTGCAGTTCACAACTGATCCATAGGCTGATGCTTGAGTGGCTTGTACTAGGATGTTTCACTGATTCACAACTGGTGGAGAATGTTTCCAGACCAGACTCATGCAAAACTGTTGTTATAAGTACTTGTTGTGGCGGGATGCTTTGACGGTACAGCCGGCTCGTCTAAGTATGGATTCAGTTATCTTGTGCTCAGGGAGTTTGAGTTGCCTTTAAGGAGGGAAATCAGGATTTTAAAAATACCCCGTGAAAGACCTGCTCACTAGATGAACTGGTATTGTTTCATTCGTTTGCTGCGCACCCAGGGCTGCTTGCAAGTCTTGTGACGGTGGATGATCTTGTCGCCGCCACGGTGATCTCATCTTCCATGACAAGACCCACTAACCTCATGAAGTACCCTTTCGTTTCGGTCATTAAACGTAGGTGGTTCCGGGCTTCCAGAAGTTTGTGACGGAACACGTTATGAAGGTGGAAAAGCTCCCCGGCAAAACGCACTTTCAGAACGAGATGCTGGCTTTACGTTTTTTTAGTCAGGATGGGTATGGATGTCGTGGAAAAGACGGTATGCTGAATCAGTTTCTCCAGAATGTTTGGGCGTTTCTGGTCTCCATTACACGGAGACACCATGGGATGGTGGATGTGTGGCAATGTACCACGTGGTAGATAACGCGTGCGAAAATGAAATATGGTTCGTCCTACCAGCCAGTAATCTGCTGCTGCCAACCCAGCAACGCCAGTTCAGATCCACACCCGCGACATGCTGACGTTATTGTGCGCGCCTTCCAGCCAAATCACACAGGAAAGCGCTATTTCCGTGCGCACATCACATCCCTCCTTCGGGCCTGGCGGGTCCTGCCACAAAACCGAATCCCGCCAGCGTGTCCATTTTGACATCCCATCCAAGCGCGCGGGGATCAGCCCAAACAACCGAACCGCGTTTTATCTTGGGAATGGGGGGACCTCGGGAAGCCACTCCATTCCCCCCCGTATCTGAATCTCTTCAGCAATCAAGACTAAATTCGTTCATTCGTGCGCCCCATTCTTTTGTCGTTCTCTGTGCCATGGGGATTGCCCCGCAGTGCAACTCGACTCATTGCCATCATCTGAGGCAAGTGTCGCAGAAAGTCACCAACTCCGCTTCAGGTCAGGAGGACCGAGATGCGCGAACTGTACAGCACACACGCTTCCGCGAGCTTTTTCAATACCCAATTGCGAACTCGAGGCGGAATGTTCACCTTATTCAGTTCCCCGAAGTGCGTGATTTAGCAGCCAATAGCGATCTCCCATTATCCCCAGACAGTCCAGGGCCAGGCGGAGTTCCCCCACCCCCTCCCCCAAACTCAACTCAATCTTCCGCTTCACAGTGAAGAATGCTCGCGGAACAGCCGCGGCAAAATCACCAACAGAAACTCCCCCCCCCTGCCTCCCCTCCACGCCTGTCCTCTCTCGGGAAGAACTCACTGCACCCGGGGTTTGGTTTGCGCGGACGCATGCCGTCCGCGGCGACACAGTACACGTATGGCGCACTTGGGGGGACCAGCTCTACAACAGACACACACTTGGGCACCTAACCAACCGAACCACACCCAAGTTAGATGTATTCAAACCTAACGAATTCCAATTAGACCGCTGCTGAGAGCTTGTGTGTGATGCCCTTGTGTCTGCCTGCCCTCCTTGGGCTCTAGGGTATGCTTGCTTGCTTCCCCTGCCTCAGCAGCAGCAATAAAGGATGAAATCGATGCTTTGCATATCCCTCTTTCTCCAGCTCGCCTTCGTGCGTAGCCCCTTCCCTGCCCTCTTCTCCCTCACCTTTCGCGTTCCGTCAACCTGTCTTTAGCGATTAATAACTCTGACGACCTCTCTAAAACGATTAGATTTGAGTTATTATTGGTTCGAAACGGATCTGTTACCTCCAATCGCGGAATTTAGAATGCCTGGAGCTCAGAAGCATCTTTTCAGAGCTTTCACCACAAAGAGCGTGACCCGAACTGTTTCTGGGGTCAATAGCGCGTCCACCTCTATCGAGAATGAATACTACGCTGGATTTAAGGTCAAGGTAAACTTCTTGTCAAGATTCGTTGCACCAATTAAGGCTAGATAGTAGCCGGTATTGCTTCCACATGATAGCTGTGAGGTCCCGAATTGCTGCATTCTTCAATTGCATTTTCTCGTACGCGCTATGGTTAGCCTCGAGTACGTCTTAGATCACATGTCCACGACCCGTGCCTCACTATCGTATCCGCGTTTTTCTCCTCTCCAGTACCTCGTCTCATTTTCCTCCTCCACTTCGTTCCCCCTCTTTTCTCCCTCCTGTCGTTCCCTCCCTCCCCACCCCTCCCCCCACACCCCCTCCTTCCCCCACCCTCTCCCCCACCCCTCCCTCCTCTCTTTTCCCCTCTGACCCTCCTCCCCGCCCTCCTCGTCCACAACAGAAAGCGTGCGCCAAGCGCGGCCGGGTGGTGCGCACGGATCCCGACGCGACGGACGACTCATCGGAGGACGAGAGCTGCAGCCCCGCCTCCAAGCGATGGGTGAAGCCCGCCGCGCCGCAGGTATTCCCCCTCCCCGGCCCCCCTCCCCGCCCTCCCTCTCCCCCTCACCTCTTCCCTCCCTCTTCCTCCCCCCCCCCCCCCCCCTCTCTACCCCCCCTCTCCTTCCCACATCCCCCCTCCCCCTTCTCCTGCAACCTTACCCTGTACTTGCTACCCATAGGAAATGGCTGCTTTTTGTGCCAGCCTGGGCTGACGACGCTACACTGTAATCCTGTCCTTGGTTTTCACGCGTCTTCTTATTTCCGGTCACTCTAAACTCGCAGGTGTTTATCACGCACGGCGTCGATTCTGAGAGCGACAACTAGACGAACGTCCCGGCATCCCCTCCCCCTCCTTGGTCCCCCACATCCTCCCCCTTTTTCCGGTTACTCCCAACTCGCAGGTCTTCATCGCGCACGGCGTCGATTCGGAGAGCGACAACGAGACGAACGTCACGGCACCGGGAAGCGCAACTACCGCCGTCGCCCCGTGCGGCCTCGCTACTTCTCCGTTCGTCCCTCCGCCTTTCGCGCCGAACTACCCGCCGGGTCAGCCGCTACAGTACATGCACCAATTCGCCTCCGCGTCTGGCGCATACGCTTATAATCCCTATTTTCAATATGCCGCGCCGCCGGCCAAACTGGCGGGTAGCTGTCAGAAGCGAAGGTCGCCTCCGTCGCCGCCGTCTCAAGCTGCTTCTACCGCCGCAGCCGCCGCCGCAACTGCCGCCGCCGCAGGTGCCTCAAGCCCTGCCGGTGCCGCCGCTGCTGGCGCGGCTGCGGCGTATCGTGGGATGACGTCATTCTCTCCCAACGGCATTGCCGTCGGCATAGCGGGCGGCTTTCCTCCCGCGCACCACCTCGCACGCGCGGGTTACGGCGCCTATTACGGACACATGGCCGGCATGCAGACTCCTGCGAGTCGCCTCTTTCCAGGCCACTCTGCAGCTTCCCCTGTTACTAGCCCTCCCCCAGCCTCCGCATCTGCCGCCGCCGCCGCCGCAGCGGGTGCGGTAGGCCCCTATCCGTTCGATTACCCGCTCATGCAGTGGGTGGGGAACCCTCACATGGGATACCTCCCGGCGCTGCCTTCTCCGCATGCCACGGGGCAAATGATGCCGCCGATGCCGCCGGGCACGGCGGAGTTCCTGTACATGCAGTACGCCGCGGCGCAAGGGCAGTGCGGCGCACAGCAGTTTGCGGCGGCGGCGGTGGCGGCGGCCGCCGGCCTGCCGGCTATCAGTCCAGCCGTCAGCTCTGACGGCAGCGCTGCCGGCGCGGCGGCCATGCAGGCGAGGCTGCGCGTCGGGAAGGGGAAGAAAGCCGACGCGAAGGAGAAGCAGCAGCGGTACAGGGGGGTGCGCCAGCGCCCGTGGGGGAAATGGGCGGCGGAGATTCGCGATCCCGCGCGCGGGGTGCGCCTGTGGCTGGGGACGTACGACACCGCGGAGGACGCCGCCCGCGCGTACGACGCAGCCGCGCGCGCCATCCGCGGGGCGGAGGCGCAGACGAACTTCGCGGGGGAAGACTCCGCGGAGGGCAGAACGGGGGACGTTCTCGGTGCAGGGGCTTCCGCGGCTGGCGCAGGCGCGGGTGCGGGCGGAGCTGGCGGAAGGGCGGCGATTTCTGGTGCAGGCAGTGCTGGTGGCGCTATACCCGCTGTAGTGCGCACCAAGAAGAACAGCAAGGCGCACAAGTACATGCAGGGCTATTGCAGCGATACTGAGAGGTATACTGCCTGCGCCCTATGTGCCTCTGGCTCTCCCCGTGCCTGGCTGTCCCCGTGCCTGGCTGTGTCCGTGCCTGGCAGTCCCCGTGCCTGGCTGTCCCCGTGCCTGGCTGTCCCCGTGCCTGGCTTTCCCCGTGCCTGGCTGTTTTCTCATCGCCCATTCCGTCCACAGCCTCTTTTTAAGTTCATTTTCCCTCCATTCTTGCTTGAAACTGCTCCTAAGCTGTCCATTCTCCTGCCCTTCCTTTTCTGCTATATATCTACACCCCGTCTGCGTTACAGCATTCTCAGCGAAGTGGCTTCGGAAATCTCATCCTGTACCAAATCGTCCTCCTGCAACAACCTCTCCTCCGCGCTTTCATCTGCCCCTTCATCTTCCCCCACGTCACCCGAACTCAAGACCACCTCTCCAGCCCCAGCCTCAATCCTGTCAATCGAACCCTCCTCCTCCACCCCATCTAATGGCTCAGACCTCCTCTTTCTCCTCCCAGAGCCTCTCACTCACTCTGCTTCTGCACCCGAGTTTGTCTCATGCCACGCTGTCACCACCCCTGCAGCAGCTGCTGTCAAAGCCGAGGAAGCAGACTTTCAGGAATCAGGCTTGCAGGGAGCAGCAGCAGAAGAGGAGGAAGAGTTTCCAGTGTCTGAGCTTGATGCGGAGACCTTTTCTTTTGGTCTGGATGAAGTGTGTGGCAGTGCCGGTGGCGCTGGTGGTGACGCCGGTGCTCCGTTTTGGGACCTCGACGTTCCGCCATACCTTGAAACGAATGAGATTGGCCTGGACAGCATTCTCTGGTAATCCTTGAGGTTGTGCGCAGTTCAAAGTGGTGACGTACGGTCCAAGTGGTGATAGCCGGTTCGAAGCGGTGACGACATGGGTGGCACAGCTTGGCGACAACGCAGCGAAGCACTAGCGGTGGCAAAAATTGTGGCCTGCTTTCTATCGGTGGCAATTAACTGCAGTATATGCAGGGGTATCATATCAGTGGACCACGTCTTCGTGTGTTTCGGCTCTGAAGATTTGAAGACTTTGTGGCGAGATGACGCATCATTACCGTATGTGACGGTTCATGCAACTCCAAGAATTACATTTGGAAGCAGCATGATATCTAGCATTGTTTGGGTGTAAGAACCAGAGCACCTCATAACGAGCTGCTCTGGTGAATTCTGCCCCCTCAGTCCCATAGCAGGCAGGAGTTGCTGTGTCTGCCTTTAAGCTTTTTTATTGTCCTTTCCTAAGCATCTCAATGTCATAAATGAGGGGAGCTATAGAATCTCCCCTCCCCCTCCTTCAGCCTAAGTCTTACAACTCTGTACCTGTCTCATATGATAAAATTATGGATACCACATTCTTGTTAGTGTGGAAACAGAGAGCATCTGATACCAGTTCTGCTAGTGTGGAACATACACATCAATGAGTAAGCTTTTATGTGTGAAGGGTAAGGTGCACTGAAGCTGCTCAATAAGCTGATTCGGTAAAAGAGAGGGGTTGTGGGTGGGCTGGGGGGAGGGGATGGGGGGTGTAACTGTTGGAATTCAATGCACTAGAGTGCAGGCACAACACAACACAACACAACACAACACAACACAACACAACACAACACAACACAACACAACACAACACAACACAACACAACACACCACAACACAACACAACACACCACAACACAACACACCACAACACAACACAACACAACACACAACACAACACAACACAATGCAGTACAATGCAGTGCAGTGACGTAGAAAGCAGTGCGACGAAACAGAGCCTTGATGCAACATTATCACACATTACCTACTGCATTCTTAATCCTCTTGAATTGCAGCAAGCTCAGATCACTCTACACCGCACTGTATCGTTAAACACTATGCATGATCTGCCAAGGTACTGTAACAAAAGTCTCGAAGCAGCGCTCTTGGCACTTGCTGCACTCCATCCTTCCCGCATCTAGCTCCATTCTTCCGGCGAGTTTAACGCAATGCTTCCCACAGGACCCCCATCGCCTCCCACAGTCGACCTATAGGATAAGAGACTAGGGAGTCGATTCAAACGTCAATCTAGCTCTCATCTTCTGGCGTGTTGAACGCAGTGCTCTCCAACGGGCTCCCATCGCCTCCCACACTCGGCCTGTTGGATACGTGACTAGGGAGTCCAAAAGTCAATCTAGCTCCAATCTTCCGGCGTGTTGAACGCAGTATTCTCCAACGGATTCCCATCACCTCCCACACTCGCTCCATTCAGCTGACGCAACAGCAGCTCCTCCTTCCCCTCTCCCTGCCCTTTCACCTGCCCGTCACTCTGCCCCTGCTTCCTCTCCTGCCCTTCCCCCTCCTCTTGCTTCTGCTGGGCACGTCTTGCAGCCTCTTCCTCTCGAAGCAGCCCTGCAATGCTCCCAGGCATGTCCGACCCATAGATGTGCCCCATCTTTTTCCTCTTCGTTTCCAGATACGCCCGATTCTCCTGCAAAAAGGGAGAGTGAGTGGAAGAGTGAGAATCATCGCAGCATTCTCAGCGTGCTGCATATGCTCCCAGGCATGTCAGACCCATAAATGTGCCCCATTTTCTTCCTCTTGGTTTCCAAATACGCCCGGTTTTCCTGCATACAGGAGGGAGTCAGCGGAAGAGTGAGAATCATCGCAACATGCTCAGCATGCTCCCAGGCATGTCCGACCCATAGATGTATCCCATCTTCATCCTCTTCGCTTCAAGATACGCCCGATTTTCACCCACGGAGAGTATCACAGGTGCAGCATCAGCGGAGCAGCACAGAACAGGCTACCCTTCAGGAAACTGCCAGCCCAAGGCCCTTCAGTTCAATGTGTAATAGGTCGAATGTTGGTCATGAGCTGCGGTAAGAACACAGACCTGGGGTGGTGGTGCTTAGAGCTAAAGCTGTGGTGCTTACAGGGGTGATGGGGCAGAGAACAGGCACTCTTCCGGTGACTGCCAGCCCATGACCCTTCAATCCAATGTACTTGGCTGGGTTGTTGGTCATCAGCCGCATTGTCCTCACTCCTAAGTCGCGCAGAATCTGAGGTGAGGTAAGTGGACGATGAGAAAGGGGGAGAAAGAAAGGGGGGATGGTGAGACAAGAACTTGTGGGTTTATGAAACCACCACGATAGCAGGGGGAAAATTGGGAAAATGAAGAGAGATGAATCCAAACACCCACCTGTGCATCTCAAGCCCTCACATGTGCATCTCAAGCCCTCACCTGTGCATCACAAGCCCTCACCTGTGCATCTCAAGCCCTCACCTGTGCATCACAAGCCCTCACCTGTGCATCTCAAGCCCTCACCTGTGCATCTCAAGCCCTCACCTGTGCATCTCAAGCCCTCACCTGTGCGCCAATGCCGTATTCCCTGGAATCAGCTGGAAAGCCCAAGTCCACATTGGCCTCCACAGTGTCCCGCCCCATGTCCTGCATAGGGGGGAGTTGGATGCGGTGGGACATGGTGGATTAGGTGAGAGAGATGAGACGAGGGGATTGCTGGCATTTGGAAAGCCCAAGTCCACATTGGCCTCCACTGTGTCCCGCCCCATGTCCTGTGTGAGGGAGAGGGTGGGGGGAGGGGGGGGGGGGGAGTGGGCGTTGGGGGCGAGCAGGAGAGAGGGTTGGAATGAAAGGAGAAACGACTGTATTTTTGAGACGTCTCAAAAGGAGAAACGACTGTATTTTTTAGACGTCTCAAAAGGAGAAACGACTGTATTTTTGAGACGTCTCAAAAGGAGAAACGACTGTATTTTAGAGACGTCTCAAAAGGAGAAACGACTGTATTGAAGGGAGGGAGGAAAGCCCAGGTCCACATTGGCCTGCCCCACTGTGTCCCGCCCCATGTCCAGTGTCGAGGAGAAAGACTTTTGAGGCGCCTCAAAAGTCGCCTCCACTGTGTCCCGCCCCATGTCCAGTGTCGAGGAGAAAGACTTTTGAGGCGCCTCAAAAGTCGCCTCCACTGTGTCCCGCCCCATGTCCTGTGTCGAGGAGAAAGACTTTTGAGGCGCCTCAAAAGTCGCCTCCACTGTGTCCCGCCCCATGTCCAGTGTCGAGGAGAAAGACTTTTGAGGCGCCTCAAAAGTCGCCTCCACTGTGTCCCGCCCCATGTCCTGTGTCGAGGAAAAAGACTTTTGAGGCGCCTCAAAAGTCGCCTCCACTGTGTCCCGCCCCATGTCCAGTGTCGAGGAGAAAGACTTTTGAGGCGCCTCAAAAGTCGCCTCCACTGTGTCCCGCCCCATGTCCTGTGTCGAGGAAAAAGACTTTTGAGGCGCCTCAAAAGTCGCCTCCACTCTGTCCCGCCCCATGTCCTGTGTCGAGGAAAAATACTTTTGAGGCGCCTCAAAAGTCGCCTCCACTGTGTCCCGCCCCATGTCCTGTGTTGAGGAAAAAGACTTTTGAGGCGCCTCAAAAGTCGCCTCCACTGTGTCCCGCCCCATGTCCTGTGTCGAGGAAAAAGACTTTTGAGGCGCCTCAAAAGTCGCCTCCACTGTGTCCCGCCCCATGTCCTGTGTCTGGAAAAGGGGGAGAAGGAGGGGAAGGAAGGAGAAGGGGGGAGAGTGGGAAGGGAGAGGAAAGGAAGGAGGTGGAGGGGAATAAGAAGGCCAGAGACCAAACTTAGGGATGAAAGAAGGTGATAAATAGTGAGGAGGGCGCTAGGGGTGCTTGAGGAGGTTCGGAAGCTTGGGGAATTGTGGGCGATTGGTACACGAATTTGACACATCTGACATTCGAGGAGTTGCAATATCACGAAAGACTCACCCGAAGCAGACAGCCTCGCTTCTACGCTCCTTACAACCGCATGAATTGTCACTCCTGACAACAAGCCAACAACACCTGCAGATTATACACCTGAAGCTTGTGTCCACGCCCGATCCCCCAGCCCTCATGCCCCTCCTTGCGACCTCTATCCTCCTCGTAGCCATCGCAATCACCTCTCACAGCAAACCAACCCACCCATACCTGCAGGTTGTATGCTTGAAGCTTGTGTCCCAGCCCAATCCCCCTGCCCTCGTGTCCGCGCAGGTACACACACACGCCCCGCCCCGCCGCTTCTATCCTCTTCATAGCCTGCTCCAGTTGTGGCCCACAGTCACAGCGCCTGGACCCGAAAATGTCGCCAGTGAGGCACTCTGAGTGCACCCGCACCAACACATCCACCCCGTCTCCGATCTCGCCCTGTATATGGTGGGGTGGTGGAAAGGGAGGGGGAGGGAAACAATAAGTGCTGGATGGAAGGATTTTCCAGACTGATGCATACCGCACTGGGAAAAGGCGGTGTGCGGTTCAGAGCTCACTCACCTTGACCATGGAGACATGCCTAATGCTATCCAGTAGAGCCCCAACCAGGGTTGACTATTGAGTCGACTCAAAAGTCAACTCGGTTCAGAGCATTGCACTCACCTTGACTATGGAGACATGCCTAATGCTATCCAGCCAGCTTGCATTTGTAGCTGGAAATGTAAAACACGCCCCACTGGGTGGGTAGGCAGTGCAGTGCTGTGGGCTGTTATGCAGTGCAATCCAGTGCGGTTCAACGCAGTGCAGTGTGGCTCACCTTGACCATGGCGACATGCTCTATGCCATCAAGCTTGCACATGTAGCTGGAGATGTTGAACACGCCCCACTGGGTGGGCAGGCGGGCCACTGCAGTGCGGTTGAATGCGGTGGGCTGCTATTTGATGAATTCCAATGCAATGGAGTGCGGCTCACCTTGACCATGGAACGTGCTCTATGCCATCCAACTTGCACTTGAAGCTGGTGATGTTGAACACGCCCCACTGGGTGGGCAGGAAGCATGGTGCAGT